TAATTTTGGGCGAAAATTCTAGCTTTGTACAGCTGCTTAGGAACATTAATTTTTCTTAAAGCTTGATTTTCTTCAACATCCAATGGTCTAATGGACAATAATTTTTATTCGATTAATCGCTATTGATTTCTATGCTGTATTTTATTTTATTATTTTTGCTATTCTTGCTCACTGACAACATCTTTTCCTCTTTTTAGACTAATGAGTTGGTCCCAATCGAATATATGCGCCTCTAATGCGCTGTCTGTTCATTCTGTTGATTTGCACAATGTCGATGGAAGTCTGGGTAACACGTATATGCCCTCTGGTTTCGACACAATGGGTTCTGGTTGTGTTGGTGATAACGAAAACCCTATGGTTATGATGGCAGCCGAACAAAGGGCACTCATTACGGGTAGAGAGCTACAACAGCTTCTTAGTGTGGCTCACCAGAGTCTTGACGAAGCTCAAGAAAGGTATGTTTTCTTTTAAATATGTCTACACAATTTTATTAGCCAAAAACTAGGCTTTAAATAAAATATTTCACCCTTTTTAGAAAGCAGTCGTTGAATAGCCATAGATTGAAGCCAGCTCTATATAGTGTATTTTGTGAGATCAAAGAGAAAACAGGTGAGTTTTCTTGATTTCAATCTTAGTTACCGTTAGCTCCTTAGCTTAAAGCTTTTTTGTTACATCAAGTTTCAAGAAATTGACTCAACATTTACTATCTGTTCCTAGATATGAGCATGTTTTTATTTGCCTTGATTCACTCTGGCATTATTCACTTTAGCCTTTGGGCTAATTTCTGTAACTAAGCCTAACTTTATTTTTTGTTTGAATCTGTTAAACAAGTTTTAATTTCTGTTCAAAAGATATTATTATGAACAATGACCTAAATCACCCGTTATTCATTATTTCAAAGCTATTTAATTAACTCACAATGATTCTTATATTCTCTACAAAGCTAAAGTTTGTGTCATTTTAGTTAGGTTGAGTCTCCTTTGCGTTTTGGATATTTTCTATTTCACTGTAGATTTACTCGGTATAGCATGACGCTTTTTTTGGTGATACCTCTCATGATTAACTTGTGGCATTTAAGATTTAAATGTAGATGTAAATAATATTAATCAAGAATACTTTTTAGAATTGTTTCATCATTTATCAAATTTATACCTTTATTCTCCTTAATCTGCGTTTTATCGTAGTTTTTCTTGATCATTTTGATTAACCTCTTGTCTATTCTTTATTTTCTCTCATTGAGTATGCCTTCATGCTTGCATTAAAGCCTCTTTCTTAAGGACTTTTTATCGATATATTTCGATCACTGTCACCATTCTACTTTTATTTTTTGGCTCTAGCCCTTAGTCTTCGTAATACCGCTGCATCAAATGCCGAGGATGAGGCGAATTCTCCAGACCCACAGTTGCTGAGACTCGATAAGATGCTAGTTGCTGAGGGAGTTACAGGAAACGTGATCGGTAATGACCTAGCCGACGCCACCGGTGACCTGGGTGGCGTTGGCCTAGGGACCGGTGGCGAATGCAATCAGATAGAGCATGCTGACTACAGAGCCAAGTTAGCCCAAATTAGACAGATCTACCATGCTGAGCTTGAGAAGTATAAAAATGTAAGCCTCCTCGCCGCTCTATCCGGTGCACAAAATAATTTGTATGGACACACTTGGATGGGGTAATCATCAGTTTTCCGCTCAGATATATTGTTATGACGTGGCATGGGAAATCTCGACAGTTGCTAAGCTGCAAACACTTTTGTAATAGCCCGCTGGGTCGTTATCTTACTCCAAGTTAATTTCTTGTGTTGGTTGGAAGATGCTTCCTTTCTTATTTTTATCGTTTCTTTTTTTGTCGATCTAATGTATAAGATCCTAAATTTGTTATGTCTGTGCATGCGTTCAATCCCTAAATTAATGCTTTTTCAAGCGATAAAATATACTATTCAGCCTAGTATTATCAGTTAACTCTGGGCTTTAAATAAAAAATAAGCTACAATATAAGATTTCTAATCTAGGTTACTTTGTGGATCACGATAAGCTACTTCATTTGTTTCTGGCACCACCTTAGGGACATAACTTTAGAAGAGCCACTAATGTTTTTAAAGTTATTCGTGGATTTATATTACTTTCGTGAGAACATAGCTAAGTTCATTACTATAGCGAGGCTCAGTTTCAAGTTCGAACTTCTTGATCACAGCAAGGCAACGAAAATAGTAATTCAAGAGTTATATTAAATTTGTTTGACCATGTTTTCGTAACTTAGTCATATTGTTAGGAAGACTCGGAGGAACGCACCTAGTCCGGAGTCCATAGTATTCATGTTAATTCACAGAGTCGGACCGTGAATGTGGTACACTGCCAGTCCTAGCACCATATTACAACTCTTCACATAGGTAAAATGAAGCCGATTCTTGGATCAATTGTCTGCTAAACAATCGTAGTATCTCTCCTTGTGCCCTGGGCTAATCACCGATCCCATATCCTTATATATCACCCTTTCATTATCAAAATTTTTATTTGCTTATTTAAATTTAGTATGGTATGCTCTTTTGAGCGGATTTCATGAGAACTATCCACACCCCAGGCTAACTTCCTCACCCCCCTTCATTCTTGTGGCGGGAATGTTGATCAGAGTCTGCCCTTTTGTTACGCAGTCCTCTTTCCGTAGGTCTTATCAGTCTATTTCCCCTAGGATTCGTCTGCTATCTCCCTGATTCAATTATTTCACTTGATCCCTTCTACCTTACCTGTGCTACTCGATGCGTTATTTCCCACACCTTGCGTCTGGTAGAGTAACTTGAGTCTAAGGACCCAGGTTAATTCTCACGGCCAAGCCTTTGCTTCATGGACCACGTCTATAATTAAGCGGGTCTACTCTCAGCCAACTATTTCTA